TCGCGGGGCGGGTCACGGGTGGATTGCGGGGTGGGTCGCGGGGGGGTCGCTTGGGGGCCGCGGGTGGGTCGCGGGGTGGGTCGCGAGGTGGGTCGCGGGTGGGTCGCGGAGTAGGTCGCGGGGTGGGTCGCGGGGGAAGTCGCGGGGTGGGTCGCGGGGTGCATAGCGGGTGGATTGCGGGTTGGGTCGCGGGCGGGTCGCGGGATGGGTCGCGGGGGTGGGTCGCGGGGCGGGTCGCGCGGTGGGCAACGAGCAAAACCCTCGCCGTGGATCCCCGCTTCAGCCACGCGCCCAGGGACAATGAATGACCGTTCGGCCCCCGTCGCTCTGACTTTACGCGTCGCTGCTATGCTCATCGGAGTTCGACCATGGCATTGCTCTGTGCGGACACGCGATGAATGCTCATTGCCCTCGTGGAACGCGTGTCTGATGCTGGGGCCGCATGGAAGCACCTTTCAAACCGATGGCCGCCTATTGCCGCCCATTGTTGCCGCTGGTTTCAGCTTGTGGTCTACTGAAAACTGGGGCGCGCGATTTTTCTTTATTTAAAAAATGATCCCCCTGCTCGGGCGAATCGCGGGGGGGCAAGGGGGGCGACCGTCACATGGAAACGCGCGGCGGCGGCGCCGGGGATTCGCGCCGACGCCCGGCCGCCAGCGAGAGGGCGACAGGAAAAGCAGCGCCTCCGATGCAGCTGGGCGCTCGAGCGAAACTGGCCGCGGACTGGGGAAAAGGAGGGGGCGGGAGGCAGGGGCGGCAGAGGCAAGAGCCGTCGCCGCAGCCTCCGCCGCAGTATTTCCCTGTTTCGCAATCGAGCGGAGCTCCCGTCGCCGCGATGGAAACGAGCCCTGAGGGAAGCGGGCCCCGAACCTTGGAGTTCCCGCCCCCTCCTCTTCCTCCTCCTCGTCCTCTTCCTCCTCCTCGTCCTCTTCCTCCTCCTCCTCCTCCTCCTCCTCCTCCTGTTCCTCTTCCTGTTCCTCCTCCTGTTCCTCCTCCTGTTCCTCCTCCTGTTCCTCATCCTGTTCCTCCTCCTCCCCCCCTCCCCCCGCTCCTCCTCCTCCTCTTCCTCCTCCCCTTCTCCTCCTCCTCCTCCTCCTCCTCCTCCTCCCCCTCCTCCTCCTCCTCCTGGTCCTCCTCCTGGTCTTCTTCCTGGTCCTCCTCCTGGTCTTCTTCCTGGTCCTCCTCCTGGTCCTCCTCCTGGTCCTCCTCCTCCTCCTCCTCCTCCTGCTCCTCTTCCTCCGCCGCGCCGTCCTGGAGATGAGGGCGGGAGATTAAGTTGTTCAACGAGAGCCCGTAACAAAGATCGAATTGGCTTCTACCAACACAAACCACGCGCAGCAGGGAAAGGCCGCAACGGCGGCCATTCCGGAAAACGCAGGCCGGACGAGCAAGCAAGTCCAGGGCTTCAACGAAGCCTCTGGCCTCGGGCGGCGCGCGCGCACCAGCCCAATGCAGCGGGCAGCGTGCGCCGTGGGGCCCGCGAAAAAACGAAGTCGCAGCAGATGCGCGCAACAATTACACATGCACTGCGCTGCACTCCGCGGGCGCACCCACCCTCGAAGGCGGTGCGTCGTTCATTCTCCGCGGCGCGGTGGCTCACCGAGCTCTCTGACCCCTGGCGCGCGTGTTTAAAACAAGGTTTTGCGCCCCGCGGGGTCTGTTCATCAGACCCAGGGGGGGCATTCATCACACGCTGACATTGCCGCCATCTTTTGCCGCAGGCCCTCGGCTCGCAACATCCAGTGACTGGCGCACGCTCGTCGTGGCGCTGAGACGGGGGGGAGGCGCATCCACCCCCCGCGGAGCTGGCAACAGCCCGGGACGGGTAGGACGACGCGGCAGACCGGCGCGGCAGGCGAGCAGGGCAAACCACCCAATGCCCAGCCTTTACATACTCCGGACGTGCACCCCACGACGCGAGAGGAATCCGCGCGTAAGTGACGTGTTGCAGAAGGCAGGTCACGGAGCGGAGCGGAGGCCCCAATGTAACGTTCAAGGCGCCGCCCATCATCACTCCCCAGATGAGCCTAACAACCACTGCACCACCTCGCAACAAATCGCCAATATGCACTACAGCATACGAGACGTACACAGCCACGTCGACCGCACTGGCGATACGACTGCCACCACCGCAGCCGAAGGAAGCACCGCCCACGCGTGCCAGCATCCAGGCCGAAGACATGACCCTAGCCGCCAGCAACCACGGACAATGACCATCCACCCGCAAGCGGCACAGCGACGAGCAACACCAGCGACAACAACCACTGCGACACCCAGGACACGCCGACACAAGCTAAAGAAGAAGGCTGCTTCCTCGTCACCGTGTTCTTCAGGACAGCGCTGGACCACCCTGACGGCGACGTCAAACAGGTCCACACTTCATACCAGCACTGCATCCGCATTCATGGATCGAGCCGTCGCCCAACCCAAGAGCGTGGACACCGACCGGCTACTGGGCCTGGGGAGAAGGCTCGGACGACGCCACCCACCAAGCGCACAAGCACGGCGAAGAACAACGACTACCACTATTCCAGACAGAGGGCATCGAGCCCGACCGTCTCATATAATACAGAACGTACATCTCCAACATCATCGATGTCATCGTCAACCTCCGCCTCATAATGGAAACCGAAGACCTCGTACCGCCGCGTCGTGTTGGACATCATGCACCGCGCCATCTTTCTCGAGAGGACTGCGGGCAACCACACCCTCCAAGCGAAAAAACATAACCCTGCAGCAGACACGGGATCTAGAGAAGGCATCCACAACCGTCACCAATGACCTACCAATCCGATGCCACGCGCAATCATGCCTCCACCCTCCGCTGTCCCTCCAGGGGTAGGCGGAAACCAGGCGCTGAGAACAGCTGCGCACGCGGCAACGACCTTAGTCCAATGCCGAGCAACCTACGATCCCCTGCCCAAGGCTGGCCGCAGGACCCTCGGCACGGGCCAGCCTCACCGCGAGGAGCCCCAGCGCCAATTTCAACCACTCCCAGTGTCAACCTCTACGGCTGCAGCCGCCCGCTGCGGGGCGCAATCCTCCCATGCCTCCACCAGTCTTGCTCCCACGGACGAGTCTCGAATTATCTTCAGCTGGCGACCACCAGACTCACCACCTCTCAGCACTCTGCCTTACCCAACCTGCGCACTCACTGCCCTTGGTACCACCCAGGGCAGAAGCAGCACCAGCGCCACTCCTACCTCGGGACGGAAGGCACCTCTACTACGCCCCTCCAGAGGTGTCGTCAGCAGCGGATCTCGACTGCAACCATCGGGAGCTCCCATACCCTCTTCGCGTTGAAAAGGCCCCCCCATACCATATATATATGGAGAGAGATACATACATACATACATATTCCTCTTCCTATATGTTTATAAGCGCGGGCGGGGGGAAAACCCGTCCCCCCCCCCAAACTGGACTCCCGGGATCTGCGGCTTTGGGACCCTCCAGACGGGCCTCGAAGCGGCCACCGGGCCTCACATGGCGTTTTGCCAAGCCTTCCCAGCACACCTAGGGCGATCAGGGGGGTCATTGGAGACGTCCCAGAGACCCCCAAGACAGCACAAGAGCGCTCCAAGAGTGACCGACGTGACCTCAAGATGGCCCAAGCGGCCTCCAGGACAGCCCCAAAGAGGTATGCCTTCAAGACCACTCCCAAGAAGGCCCCCCGAGGCAAAAATCATGGAGTTTCTGTATGTGTTTGGTGAATTTTAGGGTTCTCCTCTTTTCGGCTTCCCGACGCTCCAAGACGGCGGTCTTCTGGGCGTCCGAAGCCGCCTCGGAGGCTCCAAAATCGCCCCACAACCATCCGAAAGGGCGTCCAGGCAGTCCAAGAGAGCCCCAAAACGGCACAACACGGGTCCAAGATGGCCCTCAGAGAGCCCCGTGGCGGCCCAAGATGGCCCAAAGACACCCTGCGAAGAATTCCAAATCGTGATTCGGTCGTTCAGGGAGACCGCGGTTGGAGGCAGGGTGGCCCGAGGAAGCCCCCGGAGGCCCCCAGAATACGCCCAGGAGGTCTCCAGAAGACCTTAAGAAAGACTGAAACAACTTTTGTGAGGCCCATAGAGGCTCCCCAAGGAGAAGCCAAAAGAGCTGAGGAGGATGGGGAGAATGCGCAGGGCATGGCGAAAATAAGGAAAATGAAGCATGGAGGAAGGATAACGAATCACATTATCATAGCGGCGATGCCAGAACAGGCCACCAGGAGTTATCGCTAAATTGTCGGCTTGACCTTCCTGCTATTCCGCATGCATACCAAACTTCAAGGACCAAGGTGCATGGCGCGAAGCGCCACTGCAGTCTTGTGTATATATATATATATGTATAATGTGCGGCCTGGCCACTTTGTGGGTCGGGGGCCCTAGTGGCGGGTGCGGGCATGAACGTCGTCATGTGGACGCACTCCTACACCAGTGAGCGGGTGCTGGCATGAACGTCGTCATCTGGACGCATTCCTGCACCAGTGTCCCATTCCTGCATTCCTGGACCTACCAACCCCTGAGCACGTACGTCAGCAGGGGCGCCGGCCGCCCTCACCCTCACCTCCTCCGCGTCTTCATGATACGTACCCCTCGGCGGACCACCGAGTTTTACCCCCCTTTCGGCCACTCGGCCTGCCCGCCCCCGTGCCCTCCCCCCCGCATTTGGTGGTCCACACAGGGGGGTCCAGCGCACCGGCGGCCGAGTCGTTCCTTCTTCGAACCTTCGTCAAACCCATCGGGACGTCTCCTTCTCGTCCCGCTCGGCGGCCCCACCAGCGGCCACAAGCGACCCACGTTTAACCCCCTCCAGCCCGCTAACGTTTGCGGGGCTGGGATGTCGCTGGCATCGGCGCGTCGACGAGAACTCGTCCGCATCATCGAGTCACCGAGGAGGATGAGGAGGAGGAAGAGGAGGAGAAGGAGGAGAAGAGGATGACCCCCTCCCTCCCTACCCCCCTCTCTCCTCCTCCTCGTAGCCCTCGTCCTCGCCAGTGGGGCCGCCTTTTGCCCCACCCCCATCGCTCTGGGGTCCCACGGCCGCGGGTCCACCGCCGCCGGCAAGCAGGCCGTCGCGGCCGCGGCGGCGCCTGGCTCCCAAGCGGGGCTGGGCGCCACCTGCGCACCCCAATCGGGCACGCGGGCGATCGGGAGAACGGCGGGATGATGGATGACACGCTGCCGCTGGCGAAACATGCAGCCCAAATGTGACCGCCGCCCAGTGGCGGCGGAGGTAGTGGGAGGATGAGGAAGAGGAGGAGGAGGAGAAGGAGCAGGAGGAGGAGGAGGAGGCGGAGGAGGAGAAAGGAGGAGAGGAGAAGATGGCTTGCGAGGATGCTGCCGCCCGCACCCCGCTCTTCGACGCTACCCTCGGGAGGAGGCAGAGGCAAAGGTAAACGAAGGAATGACGGATGAGGGCCGCTGAGAGCGCGTCCGGAGGAGGAGGAGGAGGAGGAGGAGGAGGAGAGAAGGGAGAGGGTGAGAAAGAGGAGGGCGGAGGAGGAGAAGCAGCAGGAGGAGGAGGGGGGAGGAGAGAGGGAGGGAGGAAGGAGGGAGGAAGGAGAGGGAGGAGGAGGAGGAGAAGGATGAGGCGGAGGAGGAGAGGGATGGGGAGGGAAGAGGGGGAGGGGGAGGAGGGTGATGCTGATGATGATGATGATGATGATGATGATGATGATGATGATGATGATGATGATGATGATGATGATGATGGTGATGACGAGGAGGAGGAGGCGGATGAGGAGGAGGCAAAGGGGAAGGAGGAGAGAGAAAAAGAGGAGGATGATGATGATGAGGGTGAGGATAATGATGAGGAGGAGGAGGAGGAGAATGAGGAGGAGGAGGAAGAGAAGGAAGAGGAGGAGGCGCAGGAGGAGGAGGATGAGAAGGAGGAGGAAGAGGCGCAGGAGGAGGGAGAGGTGCGCGATGAGGAGGCGCCTCTGCCGGCGGGCCCCGGGCCGTGGTGGCTGAGCAGCAGTCCTCCCGCTCGGCGGGCCCCGGGGCGCCGAGCACCTGCCGTCCGCGGCGCGCTGGGGGAGGAGAGGGAGACGGGCTGGGGAGGGGGAGGGAGGAGTTTCTTGGATTCTAGATGCCGCACCTCCAGGAACAATCGGACCCAAGACAGAAGAACATCCTTCGTGAACATGAGACCCTCCGCCGGTCAAAACACATAATGTCCAAGGCTACCCTCCCCAGGATGCACAAGAACATCCAACACATACGAAGAACATTCGGATACCCTCCCCGAACCAACCTCGATCTTATACTTCGGTCCGACAAGATTCGAAGGCCCAGCCGTGGTGACGAGGGAGAGCAGAAGGGATGGAAGATGATGAAGAGGCGGAGGAATATGACGGGACAAGGGAGAGGGGGCGAGGAGGAAAGGGGAGGACGAGTACACAGGAAGATGAGGAGGAGGAGGAGGAGGACCAACGTAAACACAAGACTCATCAACAATGCTGGGATACACCCTCCCTCCACCCTCCTCTTCACTAACCCAATACAAGAATTCGCTTCCACTGAGGGAAGTGCCCCGCTGGGAGACAGCCGTGTGAAAATCCTGAAGCGTGCCAGAAAACCATTCTCGGGACTTCAGCGCCACAAGTGTGAATCTGACTGTTGCGTCTTCACGATCCTGAATCGTGCCAGAACGCCATTCCAAAAACTTCAACACCGCGTATCAACGAAACTGCTGCGCCCCGACAGCCCTGAACCGTTCTAAAACCCCATTTCTGGAGAATTACCATACGAACCCGCGACACTCTTGCAAATGTTAAAAACGGATGTGCGTGGCGCTGACGCGAGAAACACATTTTGAGAATGGGCCACCCTGACTCCTTGAAACTCTTGCAAACTTGTGCAATTATAACGCGCGGCGTTAAGGCGAGAACAATATGTTACGGACATTTGGTCTTCATTTCGTGGAACTGATGTAAATGTGTAAAACGAATGTGCGCGGCGCTGAGGCGAAAGCCACAGTTTGACCCCCCCCGCCCTCACTCCCAGACACTCCAGCAAGCTTTGTAAAGCGACTGTGCGCGGCGCAAAAAGCGACTGTGCGCGGCGCAAAAAGCGAAATGCGAAGCCCTTGCGAATTTTGTTCAACAAATGAGCGCGGCGACGAGGCGAAAGCCACATGTTTCATTGCACTGGCCTTGCAGACGTGCTGCAGCGGATTTATGCGTGGATTTTTGCCCGAATCGGCGAGCGAAAAACGAAGCGAATTCCACGTGGATTTTTGGTTGGCCTTCATTCCTGGCCCAACAAATATCCGCACGAAATCCACCACGAAATCTGAAACCAAATCCTCCCGAACATCCCGGGGTCGATACATCGTTTTCCGAACGAACTCCGCTCTGCGATGTTGGCGCCATGAGACCCGCCCTCCATTGTGAAGCACAAAAACAAAGTAATACCACACGTCCTCCTTGGAGGAGCGTGTCCGACCCGACATTTGATACACCCATCTTGTAGTATACCGTTTCCCGAGCGGCGTGGCCAGAAAACGCCCACCACTACGCATATTCTATAAGACTTGTCGGTGCGATCGTCGCCCCTGGGGGGGGCGACGCATATACACTGTAAATATGTTGGGGTGACGCCGAGAAACCGCTCTGCGATGTTGGCGCCAGGAGATCCGCCCTCCATCCGTGAGGCTGCTGCCGATGTCTAGGCTGCAGGCTCCCGCGTGGCGACGAAAAACCGCAGGCGACACGCCCACGGCAAAGGAGGAGCTGTTCCTTAGATATTGGAATGTAGTAGTAGTAGTAGTAGTAGTAGTAGTAGTAGTAGTAGTAGTAGTAGTAGTAGTAGTAGTAGTAGTAGGTGGTAGTAGTAGTAGTAGTAGTAGTAGTAGTAGTAGTAGTAGTAGTAGTAGTAGTAGTAGTAGTAGTAGTAGTAGTAGTAGTAGTAGTAGTAGTAGTAGTAGTAGTAGTAGTAGTAGTAGTAGTAGTAGTAGTAGTAGTAGTAGTAGTAGTAGTAGTAGTAGTAGTAGTCAGTAGTAGTAGTAGTAGTAGTAGTAGTAGTAGTAGTAGTAGTAGTAGTAGTAGTAGTAGTAGTAGTAGTAGTAGTAGTAGTAGTAGTAGTAGTAGTAGTAGTAGTAGTAGTAGTAGTAGTAGTGGTGGTGGTGGTAGTAGTAGTAGTAGTAGTAGTAGTAGTAGTAGTAGTAGTAGTAGTAGTAGTAGTAGTAGTAGTAGTAGTAGTAGTAGAGGCCCGAGGTGGTCCCATCTTGCCCCTGCTGGAAACGGTTGAAGGCCAGGCACCCACTCCTCCCTCCCAGGGAGATGGCGCGGCAGGGAGCACTGGGGCCGCCCCGAGACTCCCTGCCGCCGCCGCGCCAGGGGCGTATGGCCCAGGCTCACGAGGGACCCCCCTTGTGGCAGCCGAGGCAGCGGCACCGTCCACGGCGGACATCTTGCAGCCGCCACTCGACGCCCATGCGGATGCGGACGATGACGGGTGACTTGAAGCAAGCGTCTACGACGACTACCTGGACGATCAGGTGACGGACGAGGACGCGTACCACGAGATTGGCTTCGTCAATCTGGATTGGTGGGATGCCATCGGGTGGGACCGCATCCTGCTGCAGGGCGCGCCCACCACGGCCATGATCCCCGACAGCATGGCTGCCGCCGTCAGCCACGTGAAGGTGCGGCTGTGCTTGGCGATCGAGCAGGCCCGCCAGGGCAACGATGATCAGGCGTCGCGCACGTTGACGCGGCTGTGGAAGGTGTTCTTATCGTTGGATGGGTTGCTGTTCAGCGAAAATGCGACCCCGACACCGACGACGCGGCGTGAGCGTCTCCAGGAGCGTTTGCAGTGGATTCAGGACGGCCAGTGGGATGTCGCCTGGCTCTCCATGGAGGACCAGACGCGCACCGCGGTCACCGCGAAGGGCCGCGAGGACCACGTCGCGGCCCGCGTTCGCCGTGTCACCGAGCTGGCACGAGCTGGCGAGATGTCTCGGGCGGCAGCGGCAGTGTGGCCCCAGGGTGACATGGCGGATGCAGCGGCGGTGGTGAGGAAGTTCAGCACCACCCAGCAGCCTGCGGCGCCTCGCCCAGGCGAACGGGGCCCTCCCCCTGGCACTGGGGCCGCCCCGCATGGGCCAGGGGGGGGGGGGGGGGGCACAGCGGCGGGAGCCGATGTGGCGATGCCGCCAGCCACGCCCCCTCACGAGCTCGACGGTGCGGCAGAGCTCCACCACCGCGTGGCCAACCACCTCGAGCGTCAGTTTGGCCGCTTCCCCCGCCGTGGCGGGGCGGGGCCTGGAGGAGGACGCTACGAGCACTGGGCCCCGCTCAAGTGCGACGAGGACGGAGCGGAGGCGGTGGCCAACACGCTGGCGCGCCTGGCCATCGGCGACCTTCCTCCCGAGGCCCTCGCCGCCTTGACGGCGGCGCGCCTCGCAGGCATCCCCAAGGCAACCCCTGGGGACGTGCGAGTCCTGGGGTGTGGGAATGTCACCCGCCGCATGGTGGGCCGCAGCGCTGCCAAGGCCCACCACAAAGACATGCGGGCGGCGGTGGGGGACCAACAGTTTGGCCTTGCCAAGGACGGATGCGGTGCCCTCCATCGACGTCTATGCACGATGGCCAACTCGAGCCCAGGCAAGTGGGTGGTGGCGATGGACCTCGGGGATGCGTTCAGCAACATCCCCCGCGACCTCGTGAAGGAGACCGTGCGCAACAAGGTGCCCGCTCTGGCGCCGCTGGCGGAAGCCTGGCCCCCTGCTCGCACACGCCGCGTGGCGGGGGGTGGGTCTCAACCCGCCCAGCTGGTCGACCAGATCCGTGGCCTCGACCAGGGCTGCCCGATGAGTCCAAGCTTTTACGCGGTCGGCGCCGCGGATGTTCTCAGCATCGGTCGCATGGCCGCGCGTGCGGCGGACGCTGAAGGGGATTGCCTGGCCTTCTTGGACGACGCGCACTTCGTGGGCACCGCGGCCGCTGTGTTCCGCGGCTTGGATGCCTGGCGAGCCCGCATCGAAGCCCACGGGATGAAGCTGAAGATGTCCAAGACCCAGATCTGGTCCCCGGATCCCCACGCTGCCCTGCCGCCGGAGTTTGCGGAGTACGCCCAGTGCCGCGTCCAGAAGCTCAAGGCGGTGGGGTCTACCCTGGCCTACACAAACCACGACGTGGACGCCGACTGGAGGGGCGTCCCGCTCACGGACTTTGCCGTCCCGGAGGACCTCGACGAGGGTGGCCTCGCGCCGGCTGGCGGTGCCGGGGCCGCCCCGGGCGCCGCCGCGCCACTCCCCTGCGGCGAGGCCTTCCTCCAGAAGCAGGACCGCTACTTCCGAGAGCCCCTGACGCTCCGCACGCATGGGCTGTCGGCCTTTGACGCCTTCCAGTTGATGCAGATCTGGTCGAGGGGCGCCTGCGTCCACATCCAGCGGGCGCCCCCGCTCACGACGGCGTGGGGCCGCAGGGTGGATGACGGAGTGGTCGCCTTCGTCAACGCCCTTTCGGGGGTCACGGCCGCCCCCCGTGAGCAGATCTTCGCGAAGGTCAGCGACGGAGGTCTGGGCTGTGGCAGCGCCGAACAGCGCGGTCCCGCTGCCCTCCTGGCGCCCTGGGAAGCCGGGGTCCACGCGGCTGCCCAGGAGCTCCGAGAGACGAAAACGATCGGCTTCTTTCGGCGGTGGCCGGGCCTGGACCGCGCCCTCTCGGCAGCGGATGAGGAGCAGGGGCGGCTGGCAGGAGGCCGTCGCCCCCAGAGTGACCGCTGGCAGGGCCTTCTGGAAGGGCGGAAGGGCAAGGGCCAGAAGACGTACACCCAGCACGCACGGGACCACGCCACCAAGACGTTCTTGGCCGCGCTGCCGGCGACGGCGGCGGCGGCGGTGCACAGTGCCTCGGGCAGCTCAGCGGGCGCCTGGATGGATAACTTCGAGGGGGTCTCGCCCCTGCGCGACCACGCGTTCTGCATTGCGGCCAAGAGGCGCATGCACCTGCCGTTGCTGCAGTCCGAGTGCACGTGCCAGAACCGACCGGCAGCGCCCACTCGCG